GCTCTGGGAAGCTGTTGTAACTGGAGGGCAACAGGTCCCTGGTTCCTTCCCTTTCTAATTTCTCTGTTTCCAGAACGGAGATAAAAATATTATTGCTGGCTTGTAACAGGTTCGTATGTGCAGTGAAAGGTTTAGTTCACTGATATACAAACAGGAAAAGGCTACATGGTCATGGAACGAATACAAATACAGGAACAGTGATACCTTTAATCGACCATTAAGAATATAAAACAAAAAAAAAAAATTTAAAGTGAGCTTTCAATGATAAAACATCTTATTCAAGGCTGTGCATAAAGTTTTGTGGGTAGTTCCACTTTGGATGCTGTTATTAAGGTCCCAAATTCACATGGCTGATGATTTTAAAGCCAGGTTTGCTTCTTAGATGGAGATAGTGCAGTATGCAAGTTGTTTTCAAGGTCCTCCTCAGGTAGCAGTTTGGAATTTATGGTTCATCTCTTAAAATAGAGGACAGTCAGGCAATTCCCCACTCCCTGCCCCCTTCTCTGTCTTTTTGAAACTCAAAAAAATTCTTTTTTGCTTGTAGATGAAAGAATTCCCAGGAATGTGACCTGCCTCTAACAGAGTTGGGATTAGGAATTTAGTTAAACCACCAGGAACAATCAATTTGAGCCAAATTTAAGCCCAAAAAGGGGTTTTACCTGGTGGATGCTTTCCTTAGTATGCAGTTGTTGTTGTTGTTGTTGTTGTTGTTTCATTTTGTTGCATATCTGATCTCTGTGCCCCCTCAAGCACAAACAGAACTCCTGGTTCCTCTTCAGCATGTAGATTAACAGGTTATCTTCAACTGAGAAGACTGATACATCCACTCATCCTGATTTTTTTTTTTTACAGGAAAGCATTTTATTTTATCTTTCAAGTAGAAGATAAAATACCATTATGTTGCATACACATAATCAGAGATTGGAATGACAACTATATGAATTCTCTAGCTAGCATGGTCACTAGAAGAATTCATTGCCAATAAAGTAACTTTTCCAAACTCAAGCATAAACACTCCTCCCCACATGCAAACCCGGACCTTATCACTAAATATGAGTCCTTCTGGTGACAACAAGGCAAGACAGAGAGTTAGTTTGGATTACAGATTTCAAAGAGGACTTTAAAAAACAAACCTCAATTTCTCTGTGTTTCCACCAAGATCAAGAGGCATCATTTTATGCTTCTGTTTCATACCAGTATGAAAATATCTAAGGTCAATATCTCAATGCACAGATTTGATCTATGAACTGACTCTTTTTTCCCAGTGGGTTTCTTCATATTACATTCCTGTGCATGACTTAAGTCACATCACAACCTGAACTGATCCAATTCATTTTTAATATAATTTATGTGATATGCTGTACTTCCCAGTACATACAAATCTACTGGAGAACGCAAGCAACTCCACTGGAGAACTTCAATCTTTCAAAAAAAGAAGAAGAAGAAGAAAAGAAAAAACATGGTAAGAATCCACATTATTTTACACTGACTTGCCTGATGATATTGGCACTGTTTTAACTCTGCACCAGATGTATTTAGACTGGAAAGAAATAAGGAAACCCAGCAGTTGTGGCATTCTGAGTTCCTTGTGGCACTCTTGCTCCACATCAAGAAGTAGATAGCCCTGCTGTGCACCAGTAGCAGTTTTCCAATGGACTACAGGGGCAGCTTCCTGCAAAGATCATTATGGTGGTGGATACTAAAAGCTCAAAGGTGCCACATGATAGACTCAAGGTATGATTCTAGGACAAAAATCTTCCTACCCCTTCTATAATCTGAAGGTTCTTAGGGAGGCCTGGCACAATCATCCCATGACTCTGAACTTCAGAGATTACAGAAGATAGTATTTTTGTATTTCACTTCATCTAGCTCACCCACAACTATGGCCATCATCTGCACATGAATGTAGATGAACAGGAGAGCTTAAAATTGAGTATAGCGAGCACTAAATATGATTTCTCACTTCATGATTCTATTTGGTTTTTCAGTTAGTATATGGAAAAATTGTATCTTTCTCAAAAACATTACTTTCTCTTCAAGATTTCATTTTAATTTTTAAGTGCTATGCCCAAAAAAGCATTTTTTCTGGTGTACAATGAAGACGGAAATCCAGTATTCGCAACTAGAATAAGCCTATTACGTCACAAGGGGTTTGGTGAATCAATTCATCATTAATTCAACAGGCCTATTCTAGTTATGCCCTTCCATGGATTGCTGCCTTGTCATGGCGAAGGGGCTTGAGTAACTCAGAGAAGCTATGGGCTATGCCATGCAGGGACACCCAAGACGGACAGATCATAGTGGAGAGTTCTGACTAAACACAATTCACCTGCAGTAGGAAGTGGCAAGCCATTCCAGTATCTTTTCCAAGAATACCCCATGAACAGAAACAAAAGACTAAAAGATATGACACTGGAAGATGAGCCCCTCAGGTTGGAAGGCATCCAACATGCTACTTAGGAAGAGCAGAGGACAAGGACAAGTACAAGTAGCTCCAGAGCTAATGAAGTGGTTGGGCCAAAGCCGAAAGGACGCTCAGCTGCGGACACACCTGGAAGTGAAAGGAAAGTCCGATGCTGCAAAGAAAAATACTGCATAGGAACCTGGAATGTAATATCTATGAACCTTGATAAGCTGGATGTGGTCAAACAGGAGATGGCAAGAATAAACATCGACATCCTGGGCATCAGTGAACTAAAATGGACGGGAATGGGGGATTTCAATTCAGATGACTATCGTATCTACTATTGTGGGCAAGAATCCCATAGAAGAAATGGAGTAGCCCTCATAATCAATAAAAGAGTGGGAAAAGCTGTAATGGGATACGGGACTGGAATGCTAAAGGAGGGAGTCAAGAGATAAAAGGAACAACTGGTAAATCTGGCCTTGGAGTTCAACATGAAGCAGGGCAAAGGCTAATAGAGTTTGTCAAGAGAACAAGCTGGTCATCACAAACATTCTTTTCCAATAACACAAGAGGTGACTCTACACATGGACATCACCAGATGGGCAATACCGAAATCAGATTGATTATATTCTCTGCAGTCAAATAAGGAGAAGCTCTATACAGTCAGCAAAAACAAGACCTGGAGCTGATTGTAGCTCTGATCATCAGCTTCTCATAGCATGATTCAAGCTTAAACTGAATAGAGTAGGAAAAGCCACTGGGCTAATCAGGTATAATCTAAACCAAATACCTTATGAATCGCAGTGGAAGTGAAGAACGGATTTAAAGAACTCAATTTGGTGGACAGGGTGCCTGAAGAACTTTGGATAGAGGCTTGTAATATTGTACAGGAGGCAGCAACAAAAACAATCCCAAAGAAAAGGAAATGCAAGAAAGCAAAGTGGCTGTCCAACGAGGCCTTACAAATAGCAGAGAAGAGAAGGGAAACAAAATACAAGGGAGATAGGGAAAGTTACAGAAAATGGAATGCTGACTTCCAAAGAATAGCAAGAAGACACAAGAGGGCCTTCTTAAATGAACAGTGTAAAGATATAGTGGAAAATAATAGAAAAGGAAAAACCAGAGTTATGTTCAGGAAAATTGGAGATATTAAAGGAACATTTTGTGCAAAGATGGACATGATAAAAGACAAAAATGGGGGGGACCTAAGAGAAGCAGAAGATATCAAGAAGAGGTGGCAAGAATACACAGAGGAATTATACCTGAAAGATTTTGATATCCTGGACAACCCAGATAATGTGGTTGACCTTGAGCCAGACATCTTGGAGAGTGTATATTGTCCCCCGGCTTATTTAACTTATATGCAGAATACATCAGGAGAACAAACCTATCCAAAGGAAAGGAAATCAACCCTGAGTGCTCAGTGGAAGGACAGATCCTGAAGCTGAGGCTCCAATACTTTGGCCATCTCATGAGAAGAGAAGACTCCCTGGAAAAATCCCTGATGTTAGTGGGAAGGAAATTTTGATATCCTGGACAACCCAGATAATGTGGTTGACCTTGAGCCAGACATCTTGGAGAGTGTATATTGTCCCCCGGCTTATTTAACTTATATGCAGAATACATCAGGAGAACAAACCTATCCATTCTAAAGGAAATCAACCCTGAGTGCTCAGTGGAAGGACAGATCCTGAAGCTGAGGCTCCAATACTTTGGCCATCTCATGAGAAGAGAAGACTCCCTGGAAAAATCCCTGATGTTAGAAAAGTGTGAAGGAAAGAAGAGAAGGGGACGACAGAGGATGAGATGGTTGGACAGTGTTATCGAAGCTACCAGCATGAATTTGGCCCAACTCCGGGAGGCAGTGGAAGACAGGAGGGCCTGGCGTGCTCTGGTCCATGGGGTCAGGAAGAGTCGGACACGACTAAACGACTAAACAACAACAAAATTCTAGTTATGACTTACTATCAAATTTCAGTCATTGATATATAATAATGTCTTTTAGCATTTGGCCAAACAACATGTGGAATATGCAATAAAGATCTAAACATGCTAACATTTTTAGATTCTATTCTCTTACTCTTCCTTAACTAGAGGTTAAAATTCACTATAAATATAAATAACTGAATAAAATTAAAAAATAAATAAACAAATAGATAAATAGAAATACAAAGTTTCTTAAAGAGAAGAAATATATCTTGCAAGAACATCCTTTGGTTCTTATTTTTCCTTTCACAGGTATTCCTATATATCCAGAAACTAATTTTCTTCTTAATCTTCTCTCGTAATCATATTTTAAAAATAATGACGTGCGGACCGAAAAAGAGGAAGATCAGTTATCACTATAGGATCCTGAAAGCTGGACTTGTCCACTAGCCTGTATAACCAACTTAATTAATCCAGATGCTTCTTGAAAGTCCATAAATTTTTGCTGAATATGAATAGGAAAAGAAAGGCCAATTTGATGTTTGTAATTATGAACTTCAATTTCTATGACGGGCAAAGTGACTAAAACCTGTTTCATTTATGCAGGATAAGCACAAAAGTGTATAAAAGGATGGATCCTAACCCTAGTAAGAATGAGAAATTCCATCTTCTGTTCACTAAAGCAAATCAGCAGAAATGGTTTTCACCACGACCGACAGGAAGCCTTCGCTGAAAGGTACGTCTCTTGACATTCTTTTTGCGATATGTTTTCCCTGTCAGGTTGAGAGAGAATTTAAATTTAAACAACGTAATCCACACTATAGACGTAGATAGGCACACCATAAACAGGTTTTTTTCACCTCTGCAAAGAGAAAACACTCTTGAAAATGGAAGTTCAAGGGGAAAATCTGTCTTCAAAGTTTGTGAAAGCTGCATTAAAACAAATTAGAAGATGACTGTATGCAAAAAGATGCTATGTTCCTCTACCACAAAACCACCTCATAAACTATGTCCCAGGTTCTCAGATTGTATTTGATGTATTTCATATTACTAAGATTATCAACTCTTCTTACTTCTTATAAGCAGCTCCATATTAGACAAGGTAAATGGCACCATTTTGTTTTTTACAGCATTGAATGGGACAGAAATGTGCCACTGTTCCTTCACTGTGCTACAATCTAATAGATATTTGCAGGAGGCAGAATCTAACCTAATTAACTATGCAAACATGTATGTCTACTTAGAGGTAAACTTGAGTTCTTTGGCACTTATTCTCAAGCAAGAGTGTATAGGATTACAATTTAACCCCATATATGTTTACATATATAAACATAAATTGTAATCCTATACACTCTTGTTTGAGAATATATATATATATTTACCCCATATATGTTTACATAGGTATTTCATTGTGTTTGATTGGGGCTTAGTTCCTGAGAAACATGTAGGATTGCACCCTGTGAAATGCTTTCTCCACTCCAGATACATAGTCCAATCCTATGGGAATGTATCTTGAAAATTCTACTCTGTTCAATGGGATTTTCTCCTATGTATGCATGATATATCTAGCTTAGCAAATTTGAGCATCGTGCTGCAGAAGGAAGGCTTGGGAATTCAGTTCTCCACTATCGCTCCCAGGAAAAGAGCCAACCTGTGCAGCCTTGGGTAAACTGCAGAGTCTCAGAAGGAGGGACCACTAAGCCACTTTTGAATATTTTATTCCACAAATAAATCCCAGTTTCAGTTGCATCTAAATCCAATTGTTCATTATACGACTTCTTCCCTACATGTAATCCAAAGAAGCACTATATGAATTCATCCCCTTAAAAGCACTGATCAAGTTTATTTGTTAGAGTATTCTTATGCAGTTAATATTATGGATGAATTTATAGTCAATGTACAGCATTATCAGGTATTGGTTTTAAAGGTTTTGTTATGTAAGAGAAGTGTTTCCATAGCCCCTTTCTCAAGGCATTCAGAAGCCTCTTTGAAGGAATTACAGCACACTACACTTTTTCTTTTTTTGAAGGCACTTAAGAGTTACACATGGAGAAAGGTTTAAACAGCACAGCTGTGGAAAATTTGCAGACAGAATCCCAAGACAATCGAAATCTTGAGACTGACCTAGCCGCCCTCCCTCAAATCTAATTTAAACACCATATGTTTATAGAGAAGGAAGCCACCCTTGGGAAAAGCCAAAAAGGAAAATAACTCGGCCTATTTTTCCACACTCTTACATTTATGCAAATAAAACTACATACATCATGAAAAAGTTGTTTTCCTCACATACGCTTGCTTAATAAGTCAAGCATTAAAAGAAGAAACAGAAGAAGGCAGAATACTGTTTGTTGACTCAAGTTACCATGCTTTCTGGATGCCTGTTTCTTTTACCTGAACAGGTGTGTTGCTGGTGATCCTGCTGATGACTAATATGTTCCTGTCAAGAAAGTTTGTAACATCTTCGCCCATCTGTCCCAATGGTTCTGACAGTTGTCAGGTCTCCCTCGGGGATCTTTTTGACCGTGCTGTCAAACTCTCACATTACATCCACTCCCTTTCTGCTGAAATATTCAATGAATTTGTAAGTACCAGCATGCCTTGTACAGAATCTACCCTTTTCAAAGAATGTGTTCAAATGTGAAGGGAACAGAAAGGAACTGTGTGTTCAGCAACTGTAGATGACTTTCAGCCTGCCAGATGTTGTTGGGTTGCACCTCCCACACTGCTAGCTAGGGCTGATGGAAGTGGAGCGTCATGACATCTGGAAGGCCACCAGCTACCCATTTCTGCCTTATGGAAAAATTATATCGAGAAACATTCTGTGTTGCAGAGTTTTGGATTTCTGATAAAATTCCTATTCTCAATAAAAATACAGGGACAGAGTTTTGGATTTCTGATAAAATTCCTAAAAATACAGGGACTCACAGAGGAGAACAGCTACAAGTTCCCCAGAGTCCACCCCTTTTTCATTAATTAGCACTTAAAGTCTCAATAACTTACTCTGAGACATTTGTAGGAGAAATAATAAAAACATTTCATTACTTACAATTGTGAACAGATCAACAGCAAATTAACAAATAACAAAATTGACTGCTTCCAAGCGAACACTCAGTGGAGAAGCACGGCTCTCTTTGAATTCAGAGGCAGACAGGAATGATTGATTAGTGCTGGGTAGATTGATTGTCCAGCCCAGTCCAGAAAAGTCCCTTCTAGTCATTCAAAACACAGGCAGCGTGAAAGGTTGCAAATAAACTCCAACATTCTGGACACCATCGCTACTAGTGGCACTCTACTTCTTCTGCTTCATTTTTAGTATCAGGAACAGCTCATGAAAAAATGCTAGGTTTCTTAGTTGTTGCTCTTGTTACACCATTATTTTCATCATTATGTCAAGTCCCACTGCATAAGATACCTTTCAAAGTCCACACATATATAGTGCCTAAGCTCAGAGGACTGATTACTAAAATTGCTGTTTATATTTTGAAACAGTTTATGTATCAGTCCTATAGACAGTTTCAATTAAACATGTTGCCCTAATTAACTGTTTTAAAACATTGAGAAGAAAGCTGCACCAGCATCTAGGTGGGTTATGGCAATGTGTGCTCAGCAACCTGTTCAATCCTAACTGTGGGTTTTCAATGTATTAGGTAAATTTTCATCATCTGAGATGAATGTACAGTCTCAGTGGTGAAATAAGCACACCTCTGATCATACTAATGTGACAGTAAGTGTTGTCTCTTAAGGCACATGTTTTGGGAAGTGGGAAAATGACAGATTGCTGTCTCTCATTAATAGTCCAAATGCACTGAAAGCCTTTTCTCACAAAAGCATTCCTCCCCTTAGGAATCACAACAGTGACAGATCGCATGTGAGAAAGAAAACACATGACCCTGTACCTAGAAGCCATTTAAAACAAAGGAAAACAGCAACAAACCCAAGTAACAAAGAGCAATCTGGAATGCTTTGTAGAATTAAAAATAACTGGAAAACTATGGAACTGCTTTGGAGTTTGGCTGGAGGAAAAGTTTCATATATTGTATTCTAGGGTTACAGACTATGCAAAATAAGACAGCTTTTCTTGATAAACAGATCATGAGAAAAATTCATCACCATCACACTGATTTCACCCGAATATTATTTAAAGAAAGTACCTTTGATTCAGAGAGATACATGTAATAATTTTCTAATACAAAATTAACTTAGAGATTAATTTCAAACTAACAAAAAAGAAATGACTAGAACTTTTCAGGAGATCTTCAATGACTTGTGACTACTGTATTAAAAGAAACCTTTGTTTATATTCAGGACGAACGCTATGCTCAGGGCCGAGGATTTATTGCAAAAGCCGTTAACAGCTGCCATACTTCTTCCCTCACCACTCCTGAAGACAAAGAGCAAGCCCAGCAAATTCATGTGAGTTATGTCCATTTGTATGCAGGAAGAGCAAGCCAGAAATACCTGAGCAGATGCAGAGAAAAGAAGTTAGTCCAAAGCAACAAAGCAGGAAGAGGGGCTGCTGAAATGGTTACAGAAAACGTGTTTAATTTTTTTAACAGGTTTTCTGTTTCAAAGCACAAAGGGTTTACAGCAACAAGTTCTGCTGCTATTGCTCCCCTTCTAGTGGTGGGGAAAGTGTATAATGAGCAGGTAGAAACAACAGACCCAGAGGAAGTAAGCTCTATGTTAGAAGAATGACATGCTAGAGAAAATAATGAAATGGAAAAACTCATTAGCTTTAGAAGTTTTAAAATCTACACAATGGTTGTCTAATAAGGCTGTGCTTTTGATTTCAACAAATCTAGAACCAAATGAGGCTGATTCAGAGAAATTTTAAAGATGTTGAAATCAAAAAAAGGGGTTGTCCAAAGGGGACAAAATCCAAATTTAACCTTCTTTACCAATTAGGATTTCAAGAGGCAAAGAGGCCCAAACAATGTATCTACGACTGATTTACATTACTTCCCCAAACTCTCAGGATGAAGAAAATGTTTCAGTGATCTCTAACAGTTTTCTCTTACATGAGTGGGAAGAGTAAAAGAGTTTTTGTGGAGTCTGTGGGACGTGGGAGGATGTAGCACTGAGAGCTTCCTTGGAAAAGAGAGAAACTTGAAATCCTTCTGGCTACCCACTGTATAGTTTACAAAAGTAAGATAGTGAATAGCTATGTTAATCTTTTTTTAGAAAAGGAAAAACCAGAACACACGTAGCACCTATGAGATTATATGATCTTTCATTTTTCATAGGTTGTTGTGTGTCCAAGCAGAGATCTTTAGAATGTTTCATATGCATGGTTCAACTTGTCATATAGTATTTTCTGTGGCTTTGGTGCCAGCTAAATAGAAGTCAGACATAAATGTTGGAGTGTCTTCTGGTTACCATATTTAAACTTCTGAAAGTTTGTAGGTTTGCTAAATAAACACATCTGTGCACCATCTTTACACACATTATTCCCCTACAAATGGGTAGAGAGGGATAATGGGAGGCAAATCATCATTACTCATTTCAAAATTTCTATTCCACAAAAACACTTCTATCCTTCTGAAATACTTCATATTTCTTACTTAGGACCACCTCTATGCTACATGCCATTTTTATGGAAGGCTGAATGGCAGATGCATTTCCAGATATGGGTGTCTTAGCAACATCTAGTCACTCATTTTCTGCTGCAAGTGTTATGGAAGGTTTTCTCTCACACTTTATCGTTCAACAGCTATACAAATTCTTTTAACACAATGGTTATTTTTAAAAAATCAAACATCTTCTCTAGTCATAGGTCTTAACTCATACACACACAAAAAAAACCCTAGAAAATCCTAGAAAACAGTTAGTGAAATCTTCATTGTCTGTTCCAAGAACAGAGGTGAACGTAGTATGTTTCCAGTAGTGATAGGCATGGGCAGTGGAGCCAAAAGGAGATTACAACTCTGGCAAGAAGATGGTATGAAGGTGCACAAGGCTTGGACCCTACTGAAGTCGTAGACTGTCAGCTTCTGCCATTATACATGTTCTCACATCTAACAGCTGTCACTATAAACATATTAATAATGCTTATATTGTTGAAAGAATCTAATTTTAATAATAAGTTCCTAGCCTATGCACTGACTGAAGAATTTTTAAAAAGCCAAAGGCATTTGGAAGCAAACTCCTTTTGATTTGCAGGCAATGATTCTCACTTTGATGAAGTTTTTCCGCTATGCTGGTGGAACCATTCAAAAGCTTGGAAATAATGTATTCCTTTGACACATTAACAATAAACCGGTTACTTTTTCACTAAGCAGGAGAACCAGCAAACTGATGTTTTAAAAATAATGTTTTCAAAGTAACGTGACTATGACTGTCAGAAATCTCAACAGAAGATACAAACCTCTCTCTGTTTACATTGGCTGTATGGATAATGTTTGAGCCTTTGGATTTAGGAGCATAACAGTTCTTCTAAGATAAGAAACAGGGAAGGGTTATTCTACAGGGTAGATGTATTTTGCCACGGTAAGCAAAGTGAAAATTGTTGATGTCAACATTAGAGAGATCTCAAGGGCAGCAAAATGGCAAGGAGGATTCTGGGAAAGCAAAAAGCCCTTTGATCTTCTAGCTCACCCCAAGCAGTGGCAAAGTTTCAAAAGAAAAGAAGTTTGCCCAGAAGCCAAACACTTCAAAGGCGAATCAGACCCATGCCCAGGCATGTTTGCTGTGCTATATGTAGACATTAGAAGTGCTTTGGATAAGGTATTAAGTGGCATACCACAGAATGCATCCCCCATTGTGTACTCATAGATTTTCCAGATCCTGTATTTCCAAAAAGATCTAACTAATATTCAAGATAATCAGGGGATTAAATGTCATTCCATTCAACAAGGCTGAACAAAGTGACTTCTGCCAATGCAACACACAGAGAATGTATGGATAATGTGTTTTAGGGTATTTTGTTATCTAGTTATTCAAGTTATTTCATGCTTAAAAATGACAGAAATAAGACAGTAACCATTAAAAAAACTGCAGCAGTTCTTGTACTGTAAGATTATGTTATTTGTATCTTGTGTATGACAATATCTAATGCTTTTTTGTTTTTTGGGGGGGTTGTTTTTGGGGGGCTTTTTTTTATGGTTTGGTTTGGGTTTTTTTGGTGAATGAGCAGCACGAGGACCTGTTAAATTTAGTGCTGAGTGTCCTCCGCTCCTGGAATGACCCTCTGCTCCATCTGGTGTCTGAAGTGCAAAGAATCAAAGAAGTTCCAGACACAATTCTCTGGAAGGCTGTGGAGATTGAGGCACAAAACAAACGGCTTCTGGAAGGGATGGAGAGAATAGTTGGGCGGGTGAGTAGAAAGGACCCTCTAAGTCTTTCAAGCTGTATAATACTCTTCAGAATCTACCCAACGAGAGAGGTGACATGTTTAGCTTCAAAGAGAGGCTTTGCTGTCCCTTTTGGAAGCTAAATGATGATTTTATCACACAGTCATCCTGCAATGTTGATGGAAATCAAGATGCTACCATGTTCCATATAGAAACTACCTGTGTCTTCCTAGTGCTTGCCCAGTCTTTTACTTAAGGAGAGGGAATGCATATATTTTATGATTTCATCTCTCTCAATGATTTTTTGTTTGGAACAACTGACATGGTAAATTTAGAAACAGATGGCACAGACTGAGTGCAGGATCTAGGCTATTATTCTTCAACCTAGTGTCCCCCAGATGTATTAGACTACAATTCCATTATCCCCAACCAGCATGTCTACTGGGAAGGCTGAGCCTCAAAGATCTCAGTCAGATTTTGAGAAAATTAGTTTCTTGGACTAAAGTTCCCAGAATCTTCCAGCCAGAGTAACTGGGGTGATGAAGGTCTGAGGGCTGTAATTTTTTAAAAAGTAGGTTTCCCAAGCATTGGCCTAGTGATAGAAACAAGAGAAAAATTCCACCTGTTTTCTTACCCCAATTATTTATTATAATCCAGTAAAATTAAATATACTTGAGCCTACTGACTTAAAAAAAGATATATAACTTTGCACGTATGGAAGCCGCAAGCTCTCAGAGAACAGGCCATTAATGTTTTGGAGAAGAGAGGATGGAGATATTCAAACTCAACTGGTATTCAAACATCTTATATTGAAAAAAATGACTCTGATACTTAAACACTTCAGTATCACCCAAGAGAGTCAGTTTCATAATGTAAGCCAATAGCTAGACTTTTTATTTACATATATAAAATAATTTGTAATCAGTTTGCTCATTAGAGATGCAATGTAATTGAGTGTTAATCATGAAAATTAATTCAAGCTCTTGAAGTATGAGGCTTCAACTTTCTTTTACTATCTGAAGGATTTTATTATTACGATGGGTAAATGATCTTCTCTCTCTTAATTTGCATGTTTTTTCTCAATTACTTTTGAGCATTTCCAAAAAATATCTAAGCCATGGTTCTTTCCTATCTCAAGCGAAAACTTGATTCATTATCAGTGCTCACATTGCAGTTTGCATGTTGACATGATATTGTCATCTCAGTGAAATCTGCTGAGTAGATTTTTTTCGTCTTTCATTAGGTTCATCCAGCTGATTTAGGTAATGAAGTCTATTCTAGATGGCCAGGACTCCCAGCCCTTCAGCTGGCTGATGAAGATTCTCGTCTTTTTGCTTTTTATAATCTGTTGCACTGTTTGCGTCGGGACTCCCACAAAATTGACAACTACCTGAAACTCTTGAAATGTCGCCTTATTCATGACAGTAACTGTTGAGCAACTTTGGTTAAAATTGTAGCATTAAATCCACTGCAAATCACCTGCTTTTAGCTTTATGCCTTTTCACTGCACAGGGCATCTTTTATAGAAAATCCTGCTGCTTGGAACAAGATTTATAGCCACATTATGCACATTTTTCTTTGGTTTTGGATGTAAACACCCCCTCAGTGTCTGAAAACCCTAAGAAGTATCATTCTTTTCTGCTGTCATTTACTGTTTTATTGATATGTCATAGGAATATTCAAATCAAGCAATAAAAATTAATAAAAATGTAATTGAAATGAGTTTGTGAAAACTAGGATAAGTTTAAGATGTTTGGAATGCCTCACAAGCCTTTTCAGCCAGAACCCATGGGCAACTGATGCTTTAATTATTCAAGGAAACATCCTCAGTTGAACAGAATGGTTAAAAACAGCCAGAGATTTAGGGAGTTTGTGTGTAATCCCCATACCATGCTGCAAGTGAAACTTCTTATTTTATTAGCAAAAGCGGCATTCATCTCTGAAATAATAGGCCAAATATGTTGGTTGCTGATAACCTCATTGGGAGAAAGACAGCAAACAAACAAACAAACAAACAAACCTAACACAACTGCATTTAAATGTAACTAGCACTCTACATTTTTATACATTATTCAGACACAGGAGGAATTCACTGAGATCTGTGGAGCTTTCTCAAAGATAAGTGAATACAGGAGCTACAGCTTAAATTGTCTTAAAAGTAGAGTATTAATTTTAATTGAAAATGAAACTTTAAAAAAAGTGGCTACTCACAAATATTTTGAATCAATTTAATTTATGAGATAATGGCTGAAATTCTGTTGCACAACTTTACACTTTATAAGGCTTCTGATGTCACCAGCTGTGGCCATTTTTCAGGAATTAAAGGATTCCAGAAGGCCCGACTTTTTCCTAAACTCCATTTTTGTGAATCCATAGTAGGATGTGGGCATCACTTTTTCCCTTTTCAAAGAAAAACTTGAAGACTGGCTCTCAGATTCATGGAAAGAGTGGGGAAGGGAATATTCAGTTATTGATGACCAGCTGGGATATTTTGCTCCTGAAAGTTGCTAAACTTAATTTTTAAAAATCTAGTTGACATTTCAGTTAGTCCTCCAGAGATTTCAATTAATAGATGAGGTGTGAGCAGAAAATGCACTGTAGAAAATCAAGCTGCAATTCTACCAATAGGGCTCCCTTGAATCTCTGTTACCACGTCATATTTTGCTACCTACAGCAGCTGTGTCATTTTATTGCAGAAATGAACTTCAGTCATGTGCCAGAAACAGATTTACTAGGAGCTGTGCAAAGACCTAAATGTGGTTCTTGCACTAAATGTGTGCAAAATATGCACACATTCTAAATTATTCTTAATGAGACTATTTGAAAACTGTTTTATCTATGAATAGATTATCAAGATCTGATAAAGTGAAAATCTAGCCCAAATACTTGGCTAAAAACATGACCTACATTCTTTCTTAAATTTTGGGTTGTCAATTTGTGCAGTTTTTGCACATCCTTCTGCTTTCGTAAGTGCCAAGTGATCAATGAAAACCAACAGGGTGTTATTATAGTACTTCTGTCCTCACCAAAAGCTGAAATCCTGATTATAATGTACACAGAATATGGCTTTAATATACATAGAATATGGCATATTTGTGCTGACAAATGGTTTTAAAGTAGTTTAGACCAAAAGATGTAGATGCTTAACCACCCATCATTTATGCTTTGGATAATTTTGAAGTGCATACATCATTTTAAAATGGCATATGCCACTATATACTGTGTAAGCAACTCAATTAATTTGCATACCTACAGAACTTGTAGCAGAACCAGTGGGTGACAGAGATTCTTGTCTCTTGTGTCATGCCTATTGGCAACACAGCAGTGCAGGAAGCCTTCCTTAAAAGCAGATTCAGTTGCATTTAAGTTCAGTATGGCTGATGACTTTGTTCCCTGCTGTTTCAAAGGATGAAACAGAAATTTCAGAAGTCAGATTTTATTCTTTGTGATATTGAAACAAGAAAGTTTGTACCTTCACCAGTCAGAAAATACTTATTTCTTGACTAATGCATATCCACAGAGAATGAAATGTGCACTTTGAGTTTTCTGAGAAACCTCTCTTTAAAAATAGATGGGCCTAGAGAAAGCACACAGCATGTGTTTTACACTATTCCTGTGAAATTGGGAAGATTGAGTATCCTTTTCTTTTCATACAAGAATTCTCCAAGTAAGTGTATGTACAAAAAGTGATACAGAAGAATGTTGAAATTCACTTTTTGTTGTTGTTTAGTGGTTAAGTCGTGTCTGACTCTTCATGACCCCACGGACCAGAGCACGCCAGGCCCTTCTGTCTTCCACTGCTTCCCGGAGTTGGGTCAAATTCACTTTTTAGTTGGTGCCCCATAGAGCTTAAAGCATTCTCTGGGTGGTTTACAAGTTAATTTGCAGGCTACACATTGCCCCCACAGCAAGCTGAGTACTCATTTTACCGACCTTGGAAGGATAGAGGGCTGAATCAACCTTGAGCCAGCTACCGGGGATTGACCCCTGGGTAATGAGCACAGTTTTGGTTGCAGAACAGTAGCTAAACCACTGTGCCACGAGGCTCCAGTTACCAGCTAGAGATATACCACAATCATCCTAAAATGTCTTATCTAAAAACAGGGTATGATGAGATGCCATTTGTCCCACAATTTGGTTTTTTACAAGTATTACAGTGCATCAGAGCTGCTCTATTACAGTGTAAATTTTTTTTTTTACTTTCACTGCCCTTCCATAAAGCAGAGGAAGAGTTTAATTTGCCAGTATCATTAAATGTCAGGAGTTGGGCCAAGCATCAGTATAGCTGAGGAAACTATACACATCAACTAACTAAAACCCATCTGGTGTTTTAAATTGATTGTTGTGGCACAAACTGTGAATGAATTCATTTGTGAATGGGCTTAATTGGAGTGGGCTAAATTGGATCACTTAAGGTTGGTTAAAGTTCCGGTATGCCACTTGATGTGATCCTTGCATCTAAATGGCATATGCACAACAAACAACCCTATTTTGTCTTGCTCTTTCCACTGTCAATTTCCTATATCTTGAAGTGACTTAAGAAGACGGATACTTCATGGCACTGGCAAATTAAATATTTCCTCTGTTCTGGGGGAAACAAGGGGGATTGTTTTTATTTTATCTGTGACTTTTCTTAAAGGTCAGGTCAAGAACCTGTCCACAGCCAAATCCACTGTCAGTTGGTACTTGGTGGGGGATTTTGTTGTGGGCAGGTTCTCAACCTGGCTTTTAACAAAAGTCACAAAGAAAAGATTAAAAATCCACTTATTGTAGGAACAACCTGGTTCACTCATTTTTCTGGTTCTCACATGATACAATTGTTGGAGCAAACCAGCCCACGCCCAGAATGTTGCTACCTGCACCTTTCTGAATCTTTGTGAGTAAATGAGAAAAGAAGCATACAGAAGACTGGAGCATAATTGGCAAATAAGACCATACAATAGGCAGTGCTTTTTGTATATCTCTTTTCTTAGCAATAAAGAATAAACTGTTTCTATACGGATGTACCACACAACTGTAGGCAAGGATAAGGGAAACCTATATTTTTGATTCATGTATTATTATTATTGGTGTTCCGAATGCATTTTGCAGGAGAACGCCTCGTCCCAACCTCTTTCATTATTGCTTTTCTTCAACACCTAGTCTGAAGATGAGAGGTTTCTGCTTGTGTGTAAGCTCTCCATGCAAGCACGATTCCTAGGAAATCTTAGTTCTTGTGAATGTATGTGTGTTTGTGCATGTATCCTACACATGAACAGGAATCTCTCCTCTTTTCACATGACAAAGGCAAGATGCAATGAAGTGCCAGTATCTAGCTCTGTGGGAGCAGAGTCAGGTACTGTACTTCCTTCTAAGCATGTTCACAGAAAAAGTGTTAATTAATATCTGAAGAGGGCTGTAGCCTTTTGGGAACCAAGGAAGATAGCACATTTATGCAAACCTAGTCCAATCCAGTCTCTTTCTCAAGAGCTGCAGACACCATGGACACTTCAATAATGACACGCCAAGATACAGCCACTGAGACTGGCTATAATTTTGCCAAAGACAAGTGGTAACTTGCTAGTTGATATTGACTATGCATACAAAATAATGACTCCTCTAGGATCATCTCTGTTCATGAAGACAAATTACAACATCCCAGATTTCTGTCTCTCTGAATTATATGGTATTATTTTAGGCAAGAACAATTGACCTCTAACAGTTGTAGGCTGAGAAAATCGTCTTACTGCATGAAACCACAGTCCTTGCAACTGTGGTACAAAATAGGAGTATCTTGCTGATATTATTATAATAAATTCTAATTAGGGGGAAACCAGGTGCTATTAATCCACATTCCTGACACTTGCCATAAATTTTCTCACTTTTATGCCAACTTATACTGATTTTTCGGCAAAAAAGGTATTTAGATAAGGTAGCCGAAAAGAAAATGTCGATCTTAAAAAACTTGTCTCCATGTTGTTTCTTCTCATGGATTTAAAGAACCTATTCTGCTTCAAGGGCATTTTTCAGGTGATTCTAAAATGCCCTGTGGGATATTTGATAATTTTTTATTTGAACAATATCTGCTCGTTATAGTAAACTTCAAAAAATAAAGGCAAAAGGCCTATTAACTAGACTGTGGAAAGCACAAGTCAAGCATTCTCCACATATATCAATTTTATATACAAAGAGGCCATGAGCATGCTACGAAAGTTCTCTTGCCATTTATATCAATCTGTATCTACAGGCAGTGTCCTTCTGCAGAGAATAGCTTCCTCTCTTGAGTTTCTCTCCATGTGCAAAAAATGAAGATAACAGCAGGGGAGGTATGGAACTAGGCCAGAATGACTATCACTTGTCCCACTACATATGTGGAGAACTTACATGTGTGGAGAACAATTGAACAGGGTTCCATCTTTTGTTCCTCATCAATGGCACTGATTTTCTTGGGAAGCTGAATATTCAGTTGAAATGAAATATAATAGCTCACAGCTAAATGATACACCATGATAGGATTTTAAATGAAGGGGTATATCTTTTGTTTCAGAATGAACATACATAAGGTATACTTGACAGAATTAAGAAAATAATTTAGCAAAGTGTAGGCAAAAGGAAACAAGGAATTTGTGAATTATCTAATAGCCACATCAGAATACTTAATACTTTTTAATACAGATTGATGTTAATATATCTCTTGCCGAGCTC